AAAGCGAATAAAGCGAAGCAAGCAAGCGAATATCAAAAAAGATGCGTGGCGACTCACCGTGTCGTTGCCCGGCGCCTCCTGGGTGTCGACGTCGTCCTCCCGTTGGCGAGATCTCTGGCGTGCAAGGCGAAAGCATGCAACAGTCCGGCATATCAAGCGGGCACGGATAGGCAGGTATAGCAAGCAGGCACAGATAGGCAGGATAGCAAGCGATTAGGCCTTCGTGGTCTGCGATGGGCGACCGAGCACTCCGAGTTCGCACACGCGAAAACGGTAACGTGTGAGCTTCACGACGTTCGACTGATGAGTCCCTGCCGTAAGACGGCTGGCCAAAAATGTGTTTGCCGTAAGACGGCTGTCTTGCGAATATGTGTGTGTGTGCCGCACGGCGGCTTGACGAAAAGTTCTGCGGAGAGGTGTGTCCTCTCCGACTGTTTGACGTTGAGTCCCTCTCTTCCGTTCTCCGGCTCGCGCACCTGCGAAGTACGGCGCGAGCGAGTACCGAATTCTTCCCATAATGGGGGATGCCACCCGCGGGCGGGCAGCACGAGTCGGGTGAGTCGCGCGAATATCGACAAGTGTACTAATCGCGATCCACCGACGTTTCGCTAATAAGCGCGATAATTCAACCCGGTATAACTAATCAATACAAAAACCGTACAATTAACAATGTGAAGATACAACACGAAATCGATCCTATAATTAGCTACTATTTACACTATGATACGGCGGTGCGCCAAACAGAAATAATCGCATAAATACGTAATAAAATCTTGCTTTTACAGTTCACGAAAAATGGTTGCAACCGTACAATAAATGATTTTACTTTAAACTGAGCTCAGTAAAACAATAAGACTCGAGATAACTTTTGTCGTCCGTTTCAAAAAAAGCGAGGAAGTTTTCCTCTCACTTGCTATCGTAATCTCTGCGAGTTGTAATATCCGAGACTAATCTTTGAGAGGATAGATGATCTCTCTCGTAACGGTAGACGAATGTCTAACGTTCACACTCAGTAACGGTAGAAGAGAGTAACGTTTTCACGATAATATATGTAAACAGGTTACCTTTCACAGAAGATCACATCACCTCGGATATTCACACAATGAATATATATATATGAGAAGCTAAGTCCTTCTCTCTTTCTAAACTTTATGACTTTGAAAGGGCTCGTAATTCCTGTCGTCAAGGCTCTCTCGAACTTTGCAGCAAATGGCTGCCTTCCTTCGTTCCACGTACCGGCATGGCTCGCCGGGACGGATATCCCTGGATTCCTCTCAGTAATTCTCGCAGTGTCACGTATATCTCGTTGAATAAAGTATTTAATATAATTAATCACAATATAAAACACAGATAGACAATTCAAAACTGAAAGACGCGACACCAAAAGTATGACGCAATACTATCGACCTTTAGCAACAGAGCACGAAGCATCGTGCACGAAATCTGGGAAACGAATGGCTTGCTCACCCTGGCTGCACGCCCCTCCAGATATCCTTACGCAGGCGCGCGGGAAGACCGCGCTCGACCGTTCTCGAGCGCCTGGGTTACTACGCGATCGGATCTATTTTTCGCATACATATCCGCACGTACCGACCTACCACAATACGAACGCTTGGCTGCCGCAATTATACAATCTCTCTCTCTATTTACACGTTGATTTCAAACAAAGACTGATAATATTATCAACAACAATATACAACTAAATAATACGATTAATGTCACTAATAACAATAATGTTTCTTCAAATGCAAACAAGACCTACGTCAGTGATGATATTTCAAATGGTACATTTGTTCCGCTTGCGGAATCTACATTCGTAAAGAATCAGTCAACATCAGAGTGTGAAATCGACAATAATAATACTGACAATGAGTCAAATATCTCTGTTACATCTATGAATAATTCCGATGATAGTTTTCATGTATCAGATTGTTCTAAGCTTGAAGACACAGATGAAGATGAAAATGAAAATACTCGTGAACATATAACTAGTACAAATAAGAATAAAACTGTGAGCAGCACATTAAATTTGACAGCATCACGCTCATCTAAAGTAGCTGTATGCGATGATAGAAATATGTATGTGGAAACTTCTGACGGTTCTAAATTAAAATTAAATATGTGCTTATATTGTAAAAAATTTCAATCGCAACTTGCAAGGCACTTAGAATCTGTACATAAAAATTGAGGAAAGGGGAAAAAAGTTTCGTTTTTTACCTAAAGGTAAGTTGTATGTTACATACAAAATTGCCAACAATACTTAGGTAGAATATTCTATTTTTTTTTTTTTTTTTTTTTTTTTTTTTTTTTTTTTTTTTTTTTTTAAAGTGAAATTATATTCAAGTCAACTACCTGAATTTTGCAAAAAAATAAAATTTTGTTACATATTCCGCTAATTTAATTCACGAAGTCCTTTTTTTAATCGCTTATAACTCGGAAAATATTAACGTCCCGTCTTTTTTATATTAAAATTTCCGTATCTAACTTAAAAATATACTATTAAAGTATTGTTTGCAAGATTTTGCATACCAATAGTGTTGCATTCACCTAACTCAAAGTATTATATCAAATATAATTTTCATGAATTATTATTTAATTGGAAATGTTCTTCGCATTAAATTAGATCAAGTTTTGTTATAAAGCAGACTTATATTACTTATTTGTGTGGGTTGGTTTCTAATTCAAAATATAATTCAAGTTTAAAACACGTTTCAAGTTGACTATTAATTTATGAATTTATGAATAATTATGAAAATTGGATTTGATCTGTTCTGGCTTGGTTTAACTCTCTGATGCCCGATTTCACCAACGTCGTTTAACTTGAACCTTAGTTCAATTTACTCTTTGTCTGTTTCTATGGAAAACTGTTAGAAAGAGACAAAGAGTGAATTGAACTAAGGTTCAAGTTAAACGACGTTAGTGAAATAGGGTATAAAAAGTCAAAAATATTACTTGATAAATATATTGAGATGACTCTGACTATATAAAAATGTACTTTCTTCACCAACTATTATAATATCAAATCTATTCCAAAATTTTTCAGGATTGGAAAAATTTTAACAGGACGAAAATTATTAGGGGAAATGGGGGCTAACTCGACACCGGGGCAAACTTGACACTAGGCTTTTTGCCAATTTAAATTTATCGTAGAAACTTGCCTTTCCTACTGTAAATGCGTCTTTATGTGTCAGTATTATCAACGAAATTTGGTAACACTCTGAGTTATAGTGTAATTATTAACGCGACATAAGCGTTTTTGATAGTGAAAAGTAATTTTTCTGATCTCTCGAAAATGGTCTACTCTTTCATCGAGCTTTCGGGCAAAACTAAGCGACGTACAACAAAATTTCCTTAAGCATTATGTACCTGAAGGAACGCTCTTTAAGGCCCGGTCTACAATGGGTGTCGTCAGTCGTGTCGGATGTCGGCAGCAGTCGGGAGCATGCGCACTACTCTTTTAGCTTAGTTGTAAGTCGGATGTCGATGTTGGGTGCGTTCCACTTATCGACCGCAACGCTCGCAACGCCTCCAAACCTGTTCCACATAACGACCGCGATCGTCGTGGTCGCGTTCAAAACGTCATAAGTGACGTCATTGATCGCGACCGCATCGAGCTCGTTGTAACAAGAAGTGTTCATCTCGACCGGCGTTACGGTTTTATTTAACCTCATCGATTTAACGTGTTATTATTCTCAGTATACACGATGCAAGTCGATGAATGTATTATTGAACTTGTGAGAGATAGTAAGTGTCTCTACGATAAAAGAGATGAAAACTACAAAAACACCGCAAAGAAAAAAAAAGTATGGACTGCAATAAGTGAAAAATTAAAACATTCGTTGGGAGTCGATATTCCAGGTAAATTCTTTTATTTATGTACTATAACTTAGTAGCTCTTAATGTATTATATAATTGGTATTTTTTATCAATATATTCTATGTATAGAGTTTAATATGTGCTTTGAAGAGGTTAGCTAGGTTAGATTGTTGTTATACAAAAGTCAGTGTAAAATGTTATTGCAGCTCAAAACATTGAGAAACGATGGTCAAGTTTAAGGAACATGTTCAATCGAGAACATAAAAAGCAAAGTCTACCACCATCGGGATCCGGCTATAAGCCTTCAAAACCATGGGACTTGTATCAGAATTTATTGTTCTTACTCCCACATATTGCTCACAGACGGTTAGTCCAAAAATTCTAACATTTTCTAATTCTTTAATTTGTTGTTAAAGAAGAAAGCATTGTCAAAAGTTATTAAATTTGAAACCTGCGGATAACTCTCATTTTATCGTACGTTTGCAAGTGTATTTTGATTTTTTGGTTTTTTAATTTTAAACTCTTCATTTATATGTGCAGCACAACAACATCATTTTTACCTATTCCTTCTGTGAATCCCTCAGTCGAAGAAAATGCCAGTGATTGTACTGTACAGGATGAGGATGATAATAACGAATATGATCCTACTGCTTGGGAATTTTATGAAGGTTGTATATTTTATGAAGTTTGTATATTATAAATATATGTATTGTAAATATATTTATTGTAAATATATGTATATTATAAATATTACATTGACACCAAATTGTAAGTTTAAAACTATTGACTGAATTTTTAGATGTTGATGCATCACCGGAAATAGCTGATGAAATTGAAGTAGATGACGTATACACGAGTACTTCTAGTGCAAGTTCTTCTAGCTGTACCGTGACGCCTGTATCATCGGTTTCCTTAAGTGGCACCTTTGGCAACAGAAAACCCTTGCAACCAATTAACTGTAGTAACCAAGTCACCAGAAATACATGCGAGAAACTTTCCAATCCAATTTTTTCTAAAAACCGCAGTGGTACATTTACTTCATCGCTTGCAAAAAATTATAGCTCTTTCGGTAAAAGAAAATTTTCTGTACCTCCAGCGGACCAATTCGCGAAGAAAAAGGTAATAAAACGCGAGTTGCTCGAAAAAGAACTCGACAATGCGACATCGTTGATATCAACAGCAGTCACAACTATGACTTCTCGTGCAAACGAAGAAAAGCCTAAAGAAGAAGGTTTCAGTATTATTGAGAAGGGTTTAAATAAAGTTCCAGAAAAAAATAAAATTCAATGCATAATTGAACTACTGCAGGTCATACAAAAGTTCACGCCAGTTAACGCAGTAAACACGAAGGAACAGTGAACAGTTCACGAACAGTAAAGTGCTCAGCAAACACCAAGTAACATGTAATTTATAGTTAATTATAATTTATTGTAGGACACTTGATTGTAGAACGCAAGTCGTGACTTCAATCAAGTGTTCTACAATAAATTATAAGTTACATGTTACTTGGTGTTTGCTGGGAACTCTCTTTACTGTTCGTAAACTGTTGATATTGAGGATAGTCCAGGTGTGATATTTTTACGTGTTAGGTTACATGTGTTATGTTACCGGATCTTAATAGTTTATTTAAACTTATTGCTGTGAGAGTCCTTGTTCAAAGAAAAACGTATATAAAAAATTTTTATTTTTGCAGCCTGTAAATGTATTCGGATGCGACGTACATTTCTTATTTTTTTCCTACTTTTTTATTTTTTTTTGTTCAATAAAAAATTGATGTTAGCGATTCTATTGATAAGTTATTTTTATTTACTCAGATCGTGCAATAAATTCACGCATTCTCACGAACCTTATGTTTTTCTTGCTAAAGACGCATACTTACTAAATAATTATTATTATTTAAGGATTAAAGTATTATTCAACGAAGTTTAAACATTTTATTATCAAAAGACTTTTATTTATCTCAGTTAATAATTATTTTATTATCACATAAATTCAAAAAAAACTTTTTTTTATTTAAATAATTTAATATTTTCTAAAACAAGTTTTTATATCATATGCGAATCGGATAGATATTTTATTTTTGTTAGTACTAGTTATAACATGACATTATATGTGATATGATAATAAAATACAATAAATATACTGGCGTTACAATTATATTTATTCTATCGCCCGCCATTGCCATGGGATGTTTCCTTCGTCTGATACAAAATATCGAGCTAGACCTTCTCGTTGTCTTACAGCGGCAGCTGTACCAATATTGGCACCGATTCGTCCCAAAGGATGCAACAAATTATTTTCTCCGATCATATCCCGCCAGCTTCCTGATATTAACTCACCATCATTAGTCTCAAAATCAGCAATTCCATGCGGAAAGTACTGCTTGTTATTTTCTATCATAATAAAGTTATGTAAACAAACGGTTGCTTGAATAACAGCTTCCGCTGTGCTCAACTTTACAGCTAATGGTCTTTGTAAAATTTTCCATCTTGTTACGAGAATGCCGAAAGCATTCTCTACAATTCGACGTGCTCGTGAGAGTCGATAATTGAATACCTTTGCCTCTACATTTTGCAAATTTCTTCTCGGAAATGGACGCATCAAATATGTTTTTAAAGGAAACCCTTCGTCACCGACAAGAGCAAATGGCTGCATACAATTAGTATGGGGCAAAGGACGAGCTTCCGGTAGATGTACGGTGTTTTGTTCCAATGCTTCCCGTAGTGCAGTTTTCGACCAAATTCCAGCGTCGTTCATAGAACCTAGCAACAAACA